AGAAAATCCTAGTTTGGGGAAGTCGATTGTGTATCTTATGTTTATTTACTTATAACAACCCAGTATTTCTATTAATACAACAAAAATAACTTTATAGTTAAGTACAGAAACATCATTTCCAAAGCGCGCCATCTAGCGGTTTGAGCATACGACTAAATCTTCACACAAAAGTTGCTCCTTGGCTGCATTAAACACTATAAAGTTACACACACTAAGAGTCTAATGTAGACATGTGTTGAACTGCAAGTAAGCAGTGATTTTAGTTGACCGCTAGGTGGCATTAAAGTGAATACCAACGCTACATCTCCAAGAAAAGAAAAATGGTAAAAAAAATGTTCCACCATAACAAAATCCAATACATAAATTGCGTTAATAAAAAATAAAAAAATTTAAAAGAAAACTAATTTAAATTACCAATCCATCTTTTAACTTCACATAGATAGTTTTTTAACATTAAATCACATTAGGTTGCGAATCCAGGTCAAGAACCTACGTTATTTTCAATTTACATAAATCTACTGAAATAGGAATTTCTACTTAAGTTTTTTCTTAACGTGACATGCATAATATTGTAGTGTGTGAAGTGCGTAAAGCAAAGATGGTCACTGCAAGGGCAGTACTAAAGATGTAGGTACATTTAAAGCACATAAACTATTAATAGCTTAAAATTTAGGCAAATAACACATTAGGTACATACTAAACAAAATTATTTTATGAAATTCTTGCCTTGGGCACTGTTAAATCACTATTTCACTGTTAAATCTTTCAAAATCAGATTCTGATTATCACGATTATTCAGGATTTTGTGGCTACTGAAGACTATGAATAAATTTAGTTTTTTTTTCCGAAGTTTTTCCAATAGACTGTGACTGTATTCGGAATGTCATTTCAAATGCTAAACTTTTTTATGTATCTAATTGGCCTACCCTATTACCGATGCAATAACGCATTTTAGTCTGTAATTAATTCCTAACCAAGCAACTTTAAAAAAAACTTTTGATGCAGTTTCACCCGTTTCACTAAATAACGGTATGGTTTATTTGCATTTATGGTAGGGCTTTATTCAAGATTCTCAGTAATGTTCCTTCAACTGTAGTACTTTTTACATCCTGTATTTTACTCGTTATATTTTACGCAACGCATTCCAAATATTCATTATAAGAAATAAAACGTATGAGGATAAAATAAATTGTATTAAATGAGTTATTTTTCACTAAAAAATCTATTACTTTTAAGAGACGAAGAAAATTCAAGCAACATTGTAGACGAAATCAAATTTCGAACACCGGAAACATAATAATATTAAACTCATGTGTGGTAATTTTATAATAGAGATTTTCGTACTTTAAGGTGTGTAAGCGGTGGAAAAGCATAATGACTCAATTAAAAAAAAAACGTTTATATCATCCGGAAACCAGCAATGTGTTTTGCTTTTCGTTGAATCCAGCAAAGGCTGTTGAACCGTAAACACATTGAAAGATATTACAAAGACGTGAACACGACGTGCGCTTGGCAAGTATACGCTGAAGCTAACGTAAACATAACTTTATTCATGTAATCAAATCTAATTATAGTTACCTATGTATCGAACAAATTCAACATTCCGTGAAAACACGTCAATCGAATTGGGCTAGCATTTTTATACTAGCATAGATTAAGAAACAAGCGCACACGGGCTATCTAGTATTAAACGGACCCAGCAAAGTTTAAGCGTACGACGAATGACGCCACTTATCTTGACTGTCAAGACACTGACTACAGCTGCGAACTCTAATTTGGAATATGACAAGTTACACCAGTCTCAATATTTTTCACTGGTGGTAGGACCTCTTGTGAGTCCGCGCGGGTAGGTACCACCACCCGGCCAAATGTTGTTTGATGATTACCATAGCTACTCTACAAATTTATTGAAAAAAAAAACGATTTTTCCAAACATAAATACTAGGAGTATTACCGTATAAATACTGGGAGTATAACAAATTAAAGTAAATTGCCCAAATTCTTTCGCACGCTCATTTACTGTCTTAATTTAATTATAATCCGCATACAACAAATATCATATAAACATACATACATACATACATATAATATAAACAATATGATATAATATATAAATAATTAAATAATTCATAAGCTTATAATAAATATGCCAAAAATAAAGGAAGAGTCACTAATAATTTCCTAATGTTCTTAGATTATTTGACTAAACACTTTTAAGCCTCTGGGTCTGCGGAGGGACTTCGGTTCCCTCTGTATTTTGTACCGCATGTTCCATGGGGAGTGCTCTGAGGAATTGTTCGAGATGATACCAACGTCTCGTTTTTACCATCGCACCGCCCGCCACCGGAGTAGAGTTCATCCATACTACATAGCCACTGCGGTCATCCACAGTGCGTTTCCAGAGGTCTTTTTTGCCACGTACCATCCGGCTATGGAATGAGCTCCCCTCCACGGTGTTTCCCGAACGCTATGACATGTCTTTCTTCAAACGAGGCTTGTGGAGAGTATTAGGCAGTAGGCAGCGGCTTGGCTCTGCTCCTGGCATTGCTGAAGTCCATGGGCGACGGTAACCACTTACCATCAGGTGGGCCGTACGCTCGTCTGCCTACAAAGGCAATAAAAAAAAATAAAAAAAAGTAAATCGTAATTTAAAGGAGTATATTCTTTAAAAAAAGGTCGCAAGTATCTCTATTTTAAGACTAATCAAATTCGAAATTCATAATTTTAAAGTTAGGATTATAAGTACAATTTATTTAACACAGATCGTGACTATGAAACCCTTCAATATACGTCACCCGACACGCACTTACAGTTTTCTGTTATACCTTTCTAAAATAGTTTCCATAAATTTTACAGGATTTAAATATCGAGTTTGGAACCTATCATTCTCATCATAAAATTATGCATAGTGTCTGTTTTCAAATTTTCGCACTGATCTTTTTTAAATATTCTTGTCATCGAAAAACGGAAATGGGATGATAAAGGGAACCGAATTGCTGTAATAATATAAAAAAAGGGTTGGCAGACAAATGCGAATTTTGAAAATGTCGATCCGCTTAGTAGCCGTGTGTGCTTAATAAATGTTTCATGTAATAGAAAAAAAAAGATGTTCTCGTTGTGACAATACTTATGATAAGACTAAGTATAAATTATTGCAACTCCACACAATCGCAATACAATAGACGGCCACCTTAAATTACTAATATATAATAATGATGCATCTAACACGTTGTTAGTAGTTTTTTTTTTATTGCTTAGATGGGTGGACGATCACACAGCCCACCTGGTGTTAAGTGGTTACTGGAGCCCATAGACATATACAACGTAAATGCGCCACCCACCTTGAGATATAATTTCTAAGGTCTCAAGTATAGTTACAACGGCTGCCCCACCCTTCAAACCGAAACGCATTGCTGCTTCACAGCAGAAATAGGCAGGGCAGTGCACCTACCCGCGCGGACTCTTAAGAGGTCCTACCACCAGTAAAATTATGTATCATTTTATTGTAGAGACTTTGGATGTTAAATGTTGGCACGAATATTAACGAGTATAACGTTAAGCAGTTTGCTTACTGAGGTATTTTGTTATCTTTGACCGCGATATACTTAAAAACCTTCCGGCTGGTCAATAATACTCGTGAACATTACGGGCGATAAAATATTTAGGACAGCAATTACCAAACTAATCTAATAGATTTTAAGCAGAATAATAGACTTCAAAAACATTCTTAAAACTAATAATGTAGGTAGTACTTAGTAATGTCACTTGTTTGGTTTCAGTAAAATAATATAGTTTTAATTTCGACTATTTCGAATTAAAAGTCGTCGTGTTCTAAGGAATAAGACGTCCGGTGCATTCGTGTTGAGCGAAACACCGGTGTTCGAATCCCAGGCGGGTACCAATTTTTCTAATGAATTACGTACTCAACAAATGTTCACGATTGACTTCCACGGTGAAGGAATAACACCGTGTAATAAAAATCAAACCCGCAAAATTATAATTTGCGTAATTACTGGTGGTAGGACCTCTTGTAAGTCCGCGCTGGTAGGTACCACCACCCTGCTTATTTCTGCCGTGAAGCAGTAATGCGTTTCGGTTTGAAGGGTGGGGCAGCCGTTGTAACTATACTTGAGACCTTAGAACTTATATCTCAAGGTGGGTGGCGCATTTACGTCGTAGATGTCTGTGGGCTCCAGTAACCACTTAACTCCAGGTGGGCTGTGAGCTCGTCCACCCATCTAAGCAATAAAAGAAAAATTCACTTCCATAACTTATAAAACTAAACGTTCATTAACAATTGGAAATCGTGATTTATCAAAGAATGCTATTTTGAACGTGTTCAAAAGGCACGCGCCTATGGACAAAACAGTAGGTAGTGTTTCTAAAACATACTACGCATACATCAAACACGTATAATCACTACACAACATGCGCATTTCAGGGAAAACAACGAGCTGTAGGCAATTACATACCTATAAATAGCGAAAAGCAAATTCTTTTTTCATTTGTTCTTTAAATGCCATTTTTATGGTCAAGTCGTACTAAGCATTATTTTGTAATTTTAATGAATCAAATTAAAGAAGAATTGATTGATTGATTGAGATGAGATTTCCTTGGTCTCTCGAAACGTAAGTGAACAAAATTTGTTTCAGCTATCTGACAGTAAAAAATATTAAATAGGTTAAGATGTTTCAATATGATTTCACTAAAGGTGTGCTTTGCGAAAATGCTGATGTTTAACATTAATATGTACAATATCGCGATGACTAATTACCGTCGCATCAGGGTTTGGCCTATAGCTTACTGTAAAGGCACGCCTATATAAAACAGTCATCGTAAATATATGTACGGTTTGATTAGTAAATAACGACTTAGAATAAACGGATGATTAATACAATTTCAATTATTCTCTTACAATGTAACAGTACGAATGTGAAAATGTTTTTTTGAAAATCTAACACGAAACCGAACTTGATCAAAAACATCATTTTAATTCTTACCTGATCCAGATTTCCAATATTTGGTTTATAACGACTTAACACTGGTCTACTTCTGGATCTATTCACTAGTGAATCTGATAGAGACGTCATTGCCGATCACTCAAAGAACACGGTTTAACACAATAACGTTCATTTACTGCGTCCACTAATGTTTATGAGGAAAACACTGTTACAATTTTATTAAAGTGATGCGTGCTACCGGCCACTAGCGAATACGATACCACATTTTTCAGTCGACAAATCACATCCGGAGGAGAGCCGAGTGAAGCCAGTACGAATGAATCAACTGATTACAGGAACCGCTTGGCCTAAAACTATAGGCCGCCTGATAAGAATTTATAGCGTTTAAAATTACAAAAACATTTAAAAGAAAAAAAATAATAATTTAATAGGTTCACAAATTTTAGTACAGATGATTTCATAGGCAATTGTTATCAGTAAAAAATAAGTCAACTCGATTATTTACTTTGAATAAGGCCACTGCTTTAATAAATTCTGGGGCAAAAAATTACAGTGATGATTGCTGTAACGGAATGACGAGGAACGAATCAAAATTTAGGGCACCTACAAGGCGTTGAGCAGTATTTTTCGACACGAGATGGAAGGTGAAGCGCGATGCAGTCAATAAAATATTCGTATTTATTCACAATGCAACGACCGTCTCACGATTGCAAATTCGCACACTGGAACAATAAACAACGTTCGCGACCTAGACAGCACTCGCTTTCGTCACTGAGTGTACTATCGGTCTCGTTTCATTCCAATTTGTGCAGTGACCATAGGGACACAATTATAATTATCGGTGTCATGATGTTGGCTGGCAAACCTGGGGTACGATACTTGAGGGCCGAATAGCGGTCACAAATTCCTACTCGTAATTCAAACAACGCACGCAATGCATACGTGACATTACGTGCTCACAAAACAAACGGTCCTGGTGACCCAATAATCGTGAGTCGATATCACTTTATTACAAATGCTATCAACTTATTTATACCTAGTTAATAACAGTTAAATGACACTGAATGAATACTTGGAAAAAAATAATTTAATTCACTTACCGCTAAATAAGACGTCGATGAAACAGCACATGTAACAAAAACAAAATTATTAGGATTATTATTTCTTAAAAAAAATATCGTTTTTATTACTTATAACATGCCTACCAAAACATGGAAGACAACAAGTGCCGATATCTTCAAGACTATTGGTGCTTATACTATCAAATTCCATGTAAAAAGAATATGTGACATATATAATTTTCAACTTAAAATATAGAGTGGCACTCGCACAAGCATTCATAAGGTGCAAACCAACGGTTGGTTTGGCATTCAATGGGCCAACAAACTATTCGCATTGTTTTTAAATACCGATTGCTGCGAACAATATGAACCAAATGACGTGAGTTTTTCAATGCATCTATTGAATCAAAACAAATTACTTATATGAATTTAAAATAATCAAAGAACAAACACTCGCAAAATGTTTGTTTCTTAATATTCCGTTGAGAAAATAGGTAGAGCATTCCTGTTCCTATTGGTTTGAAATTGCTAGTGTACTTCAATAAATATGTAATACGACAACCCCGGACAACTCTTCAAGCACAGTATCTTAAGAGACCGAAAAAAATGTTTTTGCTTTAGAAAAATAATAATATAAGAAATGCTCACATATCGGTGCAGTATTCTCTGTAGATTCCATATTGAGTTATTTTTTTCACACTATTTTATTACTAAGTTTACGTCAACTTAGTTATTATGTAAATGCCTTTTTTGTTCATATTTATTTTTTGTGATAAACTGTTGTGAACTTTCACAAAACTATAATTTAAATGACTCGTTATGTGAATGAGTCAACAAACATTCGTCGACCTCGTTTAAAACAAATATTGATAGGAAAGCAAAGTCTAAAATTTGTTCTAAGATACGAAACGTGCGANTTACTAAGTTTACGTCAACTTAGTTATTATGTAAATGCCTTTTTTGTTCATATTTATTTTTTGTGATAAACTGTTGTGAACTTTCACAAAACTATAATTTAAATGACTCGTTATGTGAATGAGTCAACAAACATTCGTCGACCTCGTTTAAAACAAATATTGATAGGAAAGCAAAGTCTAAAATTTGTTCTAAGATACGAAACGTGCGACTAGCTATTTACTTATGCCCGTGCGAGAGGTAAACGCGTAGACTGCCGTGACCACGTCGTAACGAGAGTAGTCGGTCCGAGCTTCTCAGCGTGTACTGACTGAGCTGACATACGTGGTTTACTCCGTGAAATTGCACGTCAAGCTATTTCAATACATGCTGAGAATTCACAAGTTGGCAGATTCCGATCACGGCTGCAGCTTCTGTTGTTTTCTTGGCGGTGAAATTCTTATGTAATTTCAAATTATTTAAGGGCACAAGTTACATGAAACATTCTTAAGAAACGATTTGCTGTAATTTTTTTTCACAGATTAATACTATCGTGAAGACTGCATTCAATACAGTTAACTAAAGGTCATTCTCATTTATAAGTAACGAGACGCATGCCTTTCAATTCAATGATCAATAAGAACCGATTTGTGCAGTTTTAAATTGGAACACTTATAAGTTACCAAAATGAAATATAGAATGTGATCAATTTTAATTAGTGGGGTTAATTTATTCAAATTAAACTAATACACCGCTACGCGATGTCTTACATGGCATACATTAACACCACTCCATTTAAGGTGACCAAGCAATTCACTGGAGAATGAACCGCAGCGTTCTCCGAATATTATTCCAGCGCACTGCAAACGCCAACCGGCATTTGTTGGTGGTAGGGCGTATTTTAAGCCCTCGCGGGTATGTCCTACCATCGCTGCTGTGTGGCAGAAAGAGGTTTCAAATGTGGACAGTCGTTATAAAACACAATTGAAACTACGACCTCATATAATCAAGTTGGGTGACGGAATTCATGTTGTAATGTCTATAAACTCCGGTAACCACTTTACACGTGGTGGGGCTATTTTTAACGCTGGGGAACCAAATTGATGGATACCCCGCTACGGGGGGTAACGTGCCAGGTCGGATTCCGGCACCTTCACAGAACAAGAGTGAGGAGAGCACGCGGGTCGAAGTCCCCCCTATTTTCCATTTGATCCTAGGAGACTACGCCTTGATAAAGGCGGGCAAGACGGCGCGCAGCGTGATCCGCTCAAGACCTGCCCCACAGAACGACTACCGACTAAATCCCATCGAGCTTCTCCACTCCGGCTAAGAGGGACCCAGGTACCGCCATGTACGCGCCATGGATGTGGTGGGCCTTGCGCTCATTCGCCCATCTACCCAATGAAAAAAACTCTTTCCCTTTAATGTCGCTATCTCAATGGTCAACATAACCCATACGGGATAAAGAGCAAGTTTGTGCTCAGTAGGTTCCCTACCGACATGGTTTTATATGGTTTGGGGACCGGCCAAGAGGCCGATAAAAATAACGCGGTCTCTTTTGCTGCGTTCATTGTCATAAGGATCAAACCTGGTATAGGAAGGCCATGCTGTGCCTAGACTGGTTTTGGCCTAGCGGGGTATTCTGGAATGTGGTATTGTTTATACGGCCTTCGGTGAGGCTGTCTGGTTGTCACTTCGCCGATGCACGCCTGTCTAGCGTCCCATATATGTAGTGGTCCCCGTAGATGTTAATTTACGTTAAAACTTTGCATTTAACCAATAAAAGGTAACATCCTAGTTTTTGTTTAAGAATTCGCAGATGTGGATTTCGATTTGTTAGTTATATTATAATTAAGAAGATAATATGGTAGTGCCGAGAAAATAATAATTTCATATACTTAGTCTGGCCATAAATACTGTTACAATTAAAAATAAATAAAATATTACATTTGAATTTGGAATCTGTCATTTTTAAATGATTGCTCATTGAGTTTTCTCATTTTGGCGCCAATACATTGTACAATATTTTGCGATATTAAAATGGAGTGGGGTGATAAAGAGAACCGAATCGCTGTGATTGCATTACACAAAGTAGGTATGGAGCCAAATGCAATTTTTAAAACTCTCCATACGCTTGGTGTTAGTAAAATGTTTGTGTACCGGGCTATTAATAGGTGCAATGAGACCTCCTCTGTTTGTGACAGAAAAATATCTGGCCGTCCACGTAGTGTTCGTACGAAAAAGGTGGTCAAAGCAGTAAGGGAAAGAATTCGAAGAAATCCTGTCCGAAAGCAAAAGATTTTATCTCGGGAGATGAAGATAGCACCTAGAACCATGTCGCGTATTTTAAAAGATGACTTAGGACTTGCAGCCTATAAGAGACGTACTGGTCATTTCTTAACTGATAATTTAAAAGAAAATAGGGTGGTAAAATCGTAACAACTATTGAAGCGGTACGCAAGGGGAGGTCATAGAAAAATTTTGTTTACGGATGAGAAATTTTTTACAATTGAGCAACATTTTAACAAAAAAAATGACCGTATTTATGCTCAAAGCTCTAAAGAAGGTTCCCAATTAGTCGACAGAGTGCAACGTGGGCACTATCCGACTTCAGTGATGGTTTGATGGTGTATTAGCTATGAAGGAGTGACTGGGCCATACTTTTGTGAAAAAGGCATCAAAACATCGGCACAAGTGTATCAAGATACCATTCTTGAGAAGGTAGTGAAGCCCCTTAACAACACCATGTTCAATAATCAAGAATGGTCCTTCCAGCAAGACTCGGCGCCAGGTCCTAAAGCTCGGTCTACGCAGTCTTGGTTGGAAACGAACGTTTCGGACTTCATCAGAGCTGAAGATTGGCTGTCGTCTAGTCCCGATCTTAATTCGCTGGATTATGATTTATGGTCAGTTTTAGAGAGTACGGCTTGCTCTAAACGCCATGATAATTTGGAGTCCCTAAAACAAACCGTACGATTGGCAGTGAAAATGTTTTCCATGGAAAGAGTACGTGCTTCTATTGATAACTGACCTCAACGTTTAAAGGACTGTATTGCGGCCAATGGAGACCACTTCGAATAAGCTTTTTATACTTTAAATTGTTTTATATTTATTTATTAAACTAACACACTGTAAAAGTAATAAATGTTATTTGCCATAGATTTTTTTTTGTTTTCCTTTGTAACAGTATTTATGGCCAGACTAAGTATATTCAGAGTATACTAGACTAAAAATGGTGTGGATTACATCGACAGGGCGTAACAGGTCAGTTTCCGGCTGAGAACTTTATCCTAGGACGAGGTCACACGCTTTGTGAACATGCTATACAAAAGGACCTCAGAATGGAAAGAAATATTCAAATACACAGTGGCGTAATTGTGTTTTGCCATTATTATTTTTATAATTATTTAAGATAAGTCTATGGCGTGATTGGTTATAAAAAATTTTCAATCATGAGTTATATAAATTTTAACACTGAATGTAGAAAATTTACACATTAAATATATAAAAAGTGGGATATCCAAATAACTTTTCGACAAGGAATGGTGCCGCTATATCATTTATTTATTTATAGTTTAAGGTTTACTGGTGGCCCGGATGCCTTTCTGGTTTCACCAGAACAGATACTGTAAATGAACGATTACGATTCCGGAAAACCCAAAAAATGTACACATTCATAGGTCAAAGTATGCGTTATCAATTATTATTCATCAAACAAGTTGAAAATTTTCAAAAGATGATAGCAAAAAGAGTCTGAATGAGGTCATTTCTGGAATTAATCAAGAACCCCTTCTAATACTTCCGCTTTGTATTATGTGTGTCAATAATACGAAAAACATTGGTTTATGTGAGAGAGTTTGTTTCTTTTATTTTGTAGTGATATCCTCGAAATTGTTAACAGCTGTACAACATCTTGATATATATTCTGAAAAAAAATATAGTATTTTCTTCACGTATCCACCTAAGGGCATTTTGGCTTCATTGATGGAAAAATTATCTTTCCCTATGGCGTAGTCATAAACGATCCAAATTTTAATCTTTGTTTCCAGAGATATAACTTTTCATTTTTTGTTGATATTATTGGACAAAATTTTCACATAACATTCAGACTCCAAAAAGACTAGGATTTATAACTTTTCGGTAATATATCAACTAATAATCATATACTACATAAAAACTAACACATAAACTCACACTCTTACTAAAAATATAAGTGTTTTTATCTTGCTTCCACATGAACTACTTTGTGTTTGCAAATGTACATATTAAGACTACATATCTATCTAAATATATATTATTTTCCCAGTATGGATCACCTTGTTGGACAACAAAAGTGGCGGATGAAAGGCGATTGCATGCAGCAGAGATGCGAATGTTGCGATGGATGTGTGGAGTAACGAGAATGGATAGAATACGGAATGAATATGTCAGACGAGGTCTGAAAGTGGCACCTGTGACAGAGAAGCTGAGGAGTGCGCATTTGGAATGTTATGGACATGTGATGAGACGAAATGAAAATGAGGTTGGTAAGAGAGTGTTAACTATGAATATGGAAGGATATAGAGGAAGAGGTAGACCTAAGAAGAAATGGATAGATTGTGTGAAAGACGATATGGGTAAGAGGTGAGTGAGCGAAGAAATGGTATATGATAGAAGAGTATGGAACGAGAAAACATGTTGCGCCGACCCCAGGTGACTGGGAGAAGGGCAGGATAATGATGATATATTATTTTCCCAATACAGAGATTCCAACGTTATTGCCATCCATTTTACCAAATAAATGAAACCCCAACCCCATGTGTTTGACAACATGTATAGGGGAATATGTAATTAAATACATTTTTATAATATTGTGAAGCAAAATTTTCAGAGAATATTGTTAAATTCTTATTTTGTTTGTATTCGATTTTTATTAATTTTTAATAGGTATATAATCAAAATAATGAAGTTGACAGTAGTTTTCATTATTATTAAATTTTACCTGGCTGCTTCCAAACTTAAATATATCCATTACAAATTACAAAAATATTAAAATGTATACATAACTTCCCAGCCTAGGGCATGAAAAGAATAACATACTATTTGAACATTTAAATATATAATATGTAGGTTTCAGGCATAATCGACATGTGTATAAATGTAATATGTATCAGCCTACACAAGTCCAATGCTGTAACCATCCCCCTTTGTCACCCTAAAGTTTTGTCACAAATAATACTCGTTAAAATTAATTAATTTATAATTAGATTTCATTTTAATAGGTACAGTTAAGACTCGTGTTATAATTAAATCAATTAGACAGACACATTTAGATATATGTAGAATGGTCCATTACAAAAACATACAATATGCTTAATCATTAAAACTTGGTTAGAAATAAAACCACATTAAAATTGTTCAAATGGTATGATGTTTGCTTTGATTACTTATTGTTTCCAGTCAGAAATAGCTCAATTGAGTTATTTCAGAGTAAATTGTCAAAATATGTGTGTCATAACTATTATAAGTTATATTATTAAAATGGATAAGTTTCCTTCTCCAATGTATTTTGTAGTTAATGGTGGAAAAGTAACATTTGAAAATAAAAATGTAATTATGATGACGATAAAAAATTTACACTAGTAATTTTTTTCTGTTATTTTACTTAAACTAAATACTGGGTGCAAGAGGAATTTATAGTATACAATCGAATTCATTTTGATGAAGAGAATAAATTAAAATGAATGATAATATAATAAACAGTTCAAATATATTTTAAAGTATTTGAGCATCTATATGACAAACTTTAGCCTGTGATATTAATTAGATCGATTCAAGTTTTTTATAATCAATCATTTCAAACATTAATTTAATCATTTAAAACATCAGTGCTATACACAAAAATTTCTCAAAGAAAACAAAATACATACAGATAAAAGATAATTACAATGTTAAAAATATTCTCGTGCTGATTCGATCCATGCATTACCAATTGGTAAATTACTTATTTCTATTATCCTGTTTTATAGTTGAAGATTATATCCTTTCTGCCATCTTAGTCAAAAAGTATTGAAGCTTAATTTCACATTTACAAAATTTTGGAAGAATGGATTTTTTGTATACTTGGTGTAAATCCAAAATATTGGCGCGAATAAAAGTCAGTTACTTTCATAGGTATATAGCAGCTTCATTACGATATATTTAATAAAATTACCTGATCTCTGCATAATGTTGTGATTTTTAAACACTATTTAAATTAAAAACATCTCGTTTCGAATTCACGCACTTAGTAAACTGTCAACAATCTCACCCGCCCTCTGACCGGATAAGAATTGATTTTTGAATTTTATTGCCAGCAGTAAAATGAAACGAATACCACAGAATAAATTTCAAACGTCAATCGTACCATAGACGTTTAAAAAAGCTACTTCAGTGTATAGTTGGTGTATAGGTACCGCTCTATGTGCATGCAACACGAGTTTTTTTTTCTAAAAGTCCGTTGGAGTATCAGTAAATTCCCACAATTTTACTGAGATATTATTTCATATTATCTCTACGTATCTCGTTGGATATAAATCCTTAATCAATTTCACATAAAGCAACTTTATTTTATTTTGCTCCATTATACTTTTCATGCAATAGATAAATGATTAAGCTAAGGTTTAACATAAGGCTTGACATCTTTATTTTTTCTACAAAACTATGGTTGCGTGGACCTTGTTTTGTTCCGATTGATAGCCACCACCCACCACCTTCTCTTCCTCTATCTTGTTTCAAATCAAATCAAATCAAATCGTTTATCGTTATCGGTAGGCAGCGGTTTGGCTCTGCCCCTAGCATTGTTGCATTCCATGGGCGACGGAAACCACTCACCATCAGGTGGGCCGTATGCTCTTCTGTCTACAGGGGCAATAAAAAAATAAAAATAAAAGTTTTCACGATTATTTTTTCACGCACATTAACTAAATGATTAAATGAGCTAGCTAAAATATTGCCGCAGCCGCGATTGCCGCTCCTTGATTTCCATCATCAATCCCTAGACGTCTTAACAAATTAGTAGACACTCATTAAATGAACGTTCACGATTGTATGGAGAGCTGCCCGATCACGGCGGCGATGATGGACGATCATTTGTGGGCCCATCATGGCCGATTGTGAAGAGGAGCCATTAGAATAGGATGTCCTACATTGACCCTGTTATCCGATTAACATTAGTTTTTTATTACATTGATGAATTGGCTTTCTGATAGATTTATCTGAGAACAAAAAGACATCGCCATTACTTTAGTTAGAATAAGTAATTATAATTAAAAAAAGAAACATGCTCTAACAAAAGTATATTATACATACATATTAAACGTGCAGTTTACATAGGTACGAAAGAAATTGTAAATTCTAGAGATCTAACTGTTTGTCCTTTATTGTTTTCGAAGTGTCATTTCCGTTTCATCAAATTTCAAATTTCGTCGATGCTAAAGAAACGATATAGGTACCTAGACTTCAATGAAAAATAATACAATTATGATGATTAGTAACAGATTATTTACCTTTTAGGTAAAACCTAACACAAAACAATGAACTAGGGAGGTAAAACTAGTATGACAATAAATGGTATGCATTATAAAACTTATGAAAGCTAATGTAATTAATATCAATACCAACTTATATATACCTAAAGTACAAATAGGTATGACAAATACCTATAGAATAAAGAAGCTTTGTTTGTACTTACTTTGTAGTTTTGTAGTTTTGTAGTTGTATGTACGGTACCTAGTTTGATAAGGACTACTTTAAGATACGTAGTTGATATTGTTTTCATAATTTCTTGTGTACAACGCCTAAACTTTAGATCAATAATCGTTTTCGGAATAACTTTGGAATTTACTAAATAATTACTATGTCAAGATATAAAAATTTATATCCAATCTTAACAAAAGTAATCTGCTTTTCAAGTGATTTGTTGAAACCAAATCGAATAAAAGTTGCGAGAGAGATCACACAGGTAATAATGAAAATTAAATTGCAAAATTAAATCACTCGAACAAGAGGTCGAAATGAGGGGTATGAAATTTAAGTAAAATTCAAATGACTTATGAGATTTTATGAATTTCAATGCTTTTGTACATACTAATAGACTTTTATAGACACTTATGTATTAACCACTGTTGCATTTAAAACATTAAAATAAAACATAGTTATGATTTCAGATACAATTTCCAAGAAACTTAATATTTATTTCTACCGGTTTAGCATTTTTGTGGCCCATCAAAAAGTCTAAAGAACCTATAGACCAAGAAAAATTGAAGAAACTATCTGTGATTGATGACTCTGATGAGCTGTTTGAAAACGGACATTATGAGGAATGCTATAATTTACTCAAAAATTATGAGGTTTGTTGAATTTGAACTTAATGATTGTGAATACCAGCATTATCATGATATAAGACTAGATGTGACTGATTCAATGGCATAGTAGTTAACACTCCGGATTGTTCGGCCAAGGTTTGTGGGTTTGATTCCCATATCAGGTAAACTACAATCTACTGGTGGTAGGACCTCTTCAGTTTGGACGGCTAGGTGCCACCATCCCGCCTATTTCTGTCGTGAAGCAGTAATGCGTTTTGGTTTGAAGGGTGGGGCATCCTTGTAACTATACTTACTGAGACCATAGAATTCATATTTCAAGGTGGGTGGCTGCATTTACGCCGTAGGTGTCTATGGGCTCCAGTAACCACTTAACGCCAGGTGGGCCATGAGCTCATCCACACATCTAAGCAATAAAAAAAAAGAAGAAAAAAAACATTTATGTAATGAACAAGTTTCTGAGGTTTTACGAAATAAACTGCAAACAAACATTTTACAAAATGTTTAAACCATGTATCACTGTAAAATGTATAAACTACTTAGGCACACAATTTAAACATTTTTTTAGGAAAACCAGGACATTGAAATTCAATGGCGTATCTGTCGTGCATTATACAACATGGCAAAAGAATCTAAGTATAACAATGCACAAAAAAAGGATTTCATATTTCAAGCATATGAGATAATTTGCAAGCACTTAAATAACAATGAAAATAATTTTGCAGTGCACAAATGGTATGCTCTAATTTTAGATGCAAAAAGCCATCACAATGGCATAAAAGAGAGAATTCAACAACTTGAGAATGTTAAAAAACATATGGATGTGAGTACATGCATACTTGATTTCATGAATTATGTTTCAAAATAATGACAAAACTTTTATAATTTTTATAGCTTGCAGTAACACTAAATCCCAATGATGCAACAACTTTACACATGCTGGGTGAATGGTGCTACCAAATAACTGAGATGCCGTGGCATCAAAGGAAGATAGCAGAAGTCTTGTTTGCATCCCCACCTCATTCAACATATGAGGATGCTTTAGAATATTTTCTTAGGGCTGAAACTATACAACCAAGATTTTACAGTGTCAATTTACTCAGATTGGGCATATGTTATCATAAACTGGGAAAAGAGGATCAAGCTAAATATTACTTAAAACTTGCAGCAAGTTACCCTGCAAAATCAAATGATGATCACTTAGCCAATAAAGAAGCTGCTGAATTGTTGAAGAAACTAAAATAGTTTTGTTTAATATAAAACTAAATATAGATGCTGTACTTGATATCTGTAATTACAATGTTTGTATTACATAAGTCAAAATAAAATTTTGTAAATTTAATGCAATTTTCAATTTTTACAATACCAGAAGCCTTGTGGTATATTCTTACAACTTTTGTCTGCAATCTTTGGGTTTTTTCTTTTAGAACTGGCATTTTTAACACTGCGAATTGTGTTCAATTCTGAATTCAATGAGCTTTTTGTGTAGACAGTATTACAATATAATAAGAAATCCGTATTCCACTTAGGTACATCAAAATAACAATAATATTCTGAAAAAAATACTTTTAAAATTAAAATTAAAATGGGGTTAGTGCTGATAGTGATTTCTTCAAGTCAACCTTTGGGTGGAGATGATTTAAGATTTTTTTTATTGGTTAGGTGGGTGGACGAGCTGACAGCCCACCTGGTATTAAGTGGTTACTAGAGCCCGTAGACATCTACAACGTAAATGCGCCACCCACCTTGAGATATAAGTTCTAAAGTCTCAGTATAGTTACAACGGCTGCCCCACCTTTCAAACCGAAACGCATTACTGCTTCACGGCAGAAATAGGCGGGGTGGTGGTACCTACTCGTGCAGACTCATAAGAGGTCCTACCACCAGTATGAAACTAAGCTTCAGCATAATTCGGCATTGTGCGTCACCGAGTCGCATTATGCTCTGTAATTGGAAAACTAATACAGGTAGCTTAGTTGAGCATTATGCCGCATAATGCGCTCTTGTGCTGTAATTGGAAAACTACCAGTGTTTCTTCAGGTTTAAATGTGTAATAACGGTCGTTTATTAACTGCTTCGTATCTGTGAAAGTGCACAAATGTGAGAAAATGAAACAAAGCCACTGAACGTAGCTTCTCGGGATCCTCCAAAAAGTCCACTGAAAAAGTTTCAGTAAATGACCACCATTTTACTGAGATTATACTTCATCCCATATCATATAATCTCATTTCATTTAATTTGATCCCAGTTCATTAATGTCTCAAATTAATCGTCTTCATTTCAATTCACTCCATATTATCATTTTTCATAAAAATAAGAATATAAATTAAAATAAGACATGACCTAAAGGTTGTAGTTACCAGGTCATAAAATCTCTTAAAAACTAACGCCTCATTCTACGGTTTTTATTATCTGATCTACTTTATTATCTTATTTTATTATCTCGACAGGAGCCCTCTTCTTCGATATAGCGAAGGCGTTCGACAAAGTCTGGCACAACGGTTTGATATACAAACTGTATAACATGGGAGTGCCAGACAGACTCGTGCTCATCGTACGAGACTACTTGTCGAACCGTTCGTTCCAATATCGAGTAGAGGGAACGCGATCCCGCCCCCGTCACGCCAGAGTCCCGCAAGGCTCCGCCCTCTCCCCGTTACTGTTCAGTTTATATATCAATGATATACCCCGGTCTCCGGAGACCCATCTGGCGCTCTTCGCCGATGACACGGCCATCTACTACTCGTGTAGGAAGAAGGCTTTGCTTCATCGGCGACTTCAGACCGCAGCTACCACTATGGGACAGTGGTTCCAGAAGTGGCGCATCGACATCAACCCCACGAAAAGCACAGCGGTGCTCTTCAAAAGGGGTCGCCCTCCGAACACCACGTTGAGCATCCCTCTCCCGACTAGGCGCGTCGACACCTCCACCTCCGCCATTCGCCCAATAACGATGTACGACCAGCCCATACCGTGGGCCCCGAAGGTCAAATACTTAGGCATCACTCTCGACAGAAGGATGACATTCCGCCCCCATATAAAGACGGTACGCGACCGTGCCGCCTTCATACTAGGACGTGTCTACCCGATGATATGCAGGCGAAGTAAAATGTCCCTTAGAAATAAGGTGACACTCTACAAAACTTGCATACGCCCCGTCATGACCTATGCAAGTGTAGTGTTTGCTCACGCGGCCCGCACTCACCTAAAATCATTTCAAATTATTCGATCCCGTTTTTGCAGGATAGCCGTCGGAGCCCCGTGGTTCGTCAGGAACGTCGACCTCCATGACGACCTGGACTTAGAGTCCACCAGTAAGTATATGCAGTGGGCGTCGATGCGCCACTTCGATAAAGCGGCACGACACGAGAACCCTCTCATCGTGGCCGCCGGTAACTACATTCCCGATCCTGCGGAAAGAATGGAAAGCAGTCGACGTCGTCCAAAACACGTCATCTCGGACCTCCCGATCCACTAACGGTGCTTTTAGGTACCTCAAGCACCGGTCACCGGTAAATTAACCCTCAGACACAGCCCACTGAGTTTCTCGCCGGATCTTCTCAGTAGGTCGCGTTTCCGATCCGGTGGTAGATTCTGCGAAGCACGGCTCTTGCTAGGGTTCGTGTTAGTAACGTCGTCAGGTTTGAGCCCCGTGAGCTCACCTACTAGTTAAGGTTACGCTGGAATAGCTTCTCAAGGCTACCAGCTTAAGTAGGACAAAAAAAAAGGTTAGTTTCAAGCCAATCTGTGAATTTAAAGATTCAACAGTTGGAGATATCTAAAAATGTGATTACAAAGATTTGACGAAGTTTCGATTTGGATTTGACAGTAAAACTTGAATTTGCCATTTTACAAATATTGGAAGATATACAAGACTTGGCTTCGGCCTTATTTAAGTTTTTATTTTAGGAAGAAATTGTAAAGGCCTTAGCTTAATGGAATTTTTATTTCAGGATATAATATAAATCATAAAAGACCTGGCTTGGGCCTTTTTGAAATTTTATTTCAGAAATTATATAGAACAGACTAGGTGGTATGGGCTTAGATCCCTTTGCCTTTCCTAACAAGGAAAAATTGTACCAAAAAAAATCTCGGCTATCGTTATTTTCAAAAAAATGAATGTACCTGTACCTAGGATTCTCTAACGATCTCATGTAATACGACTTTATACGACCATCGTACATAAAAACTTGGCCGATAAATCCAACTATTGTTAACTGATACTACACAGCATAGAGCTACACAGTAGACAGTACAGTAGAATTATCATCTTTTAAAAACTAATTTATGAACCTTTGTAATAAATTGTGATAGACTTTGTGGTTCAATATTACATTTTCTTTAACATTTTAGTAGGAAGATGTCATCAAGCCCTTCGGAAGAACCATTAAGCGATGACGAAATATTTTTCGGGAAGCTATCTCTAAAAGAATTCAAAAAGCATATCTTGTGGAACAAAAATTCTCCAGTTAAGTTGTACGCACAAATTTTCATATTCATTCAAATAAAATCTTCAATAATATTTATTGTAAATGAGTATGTATTATGAGTATTATTTTAAATATACATTTTGTTTATCTTAAAACAAATTTTCAGATTACAATTTTCGAACGTACATAATTCAAAGGGAAATTACAATAAAAGTTTATGTCATGATGAAAAAACAGCTGATAAATATAACGAGAAAGACAAGAGCACGATAATAATAGAATCTCACTCTGAACCTGACCTTAGACCCAACAAAAGCAATGTTACATCTACACCTACACAGAATCGCATTACAGAAACGGATGATAGCTTTCTTCATTTAGAAGATATGGTAGAAAAATTATGTGTCTCTCTCAAAAGTGAAAGTGCAGATTTGAATAATACATTAGACGTCATTGATTTCATTCTTAAAAATGGACCAAACAAGGAAACTGAAATTTCAAAAATAATTGCCCCTGAGCAAGTGAAATCTGAAATTAAAACACCCAAAAATGATGACTACTTGACAAAGCCAATGTTGAATATAATGAATTCTCCTGAAAAAAAACAAGAGTGCCAAAATAAAAAAATAATTGCACCTGAGCAAGTGAAATCCGAAATTCAAATGCCTAAAACCGATGATTACTTGACCGAGTCAATGTTGAATACAAAGAATTATCCTGAAAAAAAGTATAAAGAGTGTCCAAATAAACAGATTAAAGAAGTAAATCCTTTAACTCCATTTAAAAAAGCAACTAAAGTTCTCAGTCAGGATACAATTCAAACTCCATTGTGTGCTGCAAAATCAAAAGATGTGTTCAAAACTCCAGCTCCTTTGTCACAAAAAAAGGTTTTTACAACATTGCATAAATCTCCTGCTAGAGTAAATGCTTACCAACATATTGGAAGTCCGGTGGCCTCATACATTAAAAATGGTCCACAAGTACCATTGCTAAAAGATGTTCACCCTAAGAAGCCACTTCCTGGAACATCATCTATTCCAAAAGCCTCTAAGGACTTAGTTAATAAAGTTATGAACAAAGAAAATATCAACCTACCTTCTGTGGCATATAAAAATGCAATAAAAACAAAAATTGTAAGTGCTATTTATTTAATATATTTATTTATTTAATGCTATTTATATACATGGGTCGCTGTGGTGCCATCTCCCATGGGATGTTACCACAGTAATTCATTGTGATGTAAATATAACTACTATTAACAATTTATATGAGTCATGGATACTTGAAATAAAAACATTATTATTATTATTATTAATCTAAATAAAACAGTAGAATAAATGATATAATTAACTTTATCCTTGTACTAACAAGGGTAAAGTTTAATGCCCTAGACATCGATATATTCGATGGCCCTAGAGATCAATAGGTATTGAAAATGACTTATTTGTGCAATAAATAATTTTCTGTATCTATAGTTTAACATTTTTAATTTTCAGATAAATACACCTCGTCAAGTGAAGTTACCACTTAGCCACTGGAACAAAAAAAATACTTCATTACCAAGACCAGTTGTTATGAAACATGAGCACCGTGAGGTAGACTTTATCAAAACATCACAACCTGAAGAAAGTTTTGCAGGTTTGCCATACCATCAAGCTGAGGTGTCTGTATGTACAAAAAAATCAGCATTTCAAATGGATAAGTAGTTTTAATATTACATAAAAGGAATTCTAGCTCTGTTTAAAAATTCAACTTTTATTATTAAAATAAAATCTTTGGTTAGTACTTTAATTTCATCACATATTTTTTAAATTTCAAATAATTTTTTTAGCAATTTTTATAACAATTGCTTAAAAACTACAAGGCCTAGGTATTTACAAACTTTACACCACAATAACTTTATAATTCTCATAAAGATCTGTTAAAAATGACTTTTAAATTAACATTATTAAATATTTTCGGGTTTGCCGAAAGTGTGTAGATTTTACCTAACTAAACCAGTAATATTGCCCCAAGCCGGCGTTTATATCAATTTCAACAGTTCAATTTTTATTGCATGGTATTTATTCATATAGTCATTTAAATTCTATAAAAAAGTTAGTACCTACCCACAGGCTTTTTACTTCCATCATCATTGCATCACTGGGTACAAGTACACCAAGCATCATTTGCCTATCTAATAATGTTAATAATCCTAATTTCAAACTAAAGATAATTTCTTGCGACTACTGCTCCCACCTCTGGGCCGGGGCTCTGAAATGTCAACTTCTACCATTTGACTCCATACAGAAGAGGGCCGCTCAGATTATAGATAATCCCATTCTCACAGATCATTTGGAACGTCTGGCTCTGCGGAGGGACTTCAGTTTTCCCTGTATTTTGTACCGTACGTTCCATGGAGAGTGCTCTGAGGAAAGAGTTCATCCATACTACCTGGAGCCACTGTGTTCATTCAAAGTGCTTTATCTTTTTTGCCATGTACCATTCAGCTTTGGAATGAGGTCCCCTCCACGGTGTTTCCCAAGCGCTATCACAGTCATGTCTTTCTTCAAATGAGGCTTGTGGAGAGTACTTAAGGGTAAGCAGTGGCTTGGCTCTGCCCCTGGCATTACTGAAGTCCATGGGCGACGGTAACCACTCACCTTCAGGTGGGCCGTATGCTCGTCTGCCTACTAGGGCAATAAAAAAAAGTCAACTTCCAAGGTCTATTTATGTAACAATAACACAATTAAACGTAATTTATTATATATGTTTACATAATTAGTTTCATATTTATGTTGTTTATTAATTTTTAATTCAACATTAGTTTAATATTATTTTATAAAAAACAGATACTTACCCTTGAGGTCTTAATGACGATGTGTCTTACTGAAAGGTTTTTACACTAAACAAGACATAAAAAACGGAAATTATCCAAAATTTGTTTCAAGCACTTTATTAGTATGCAATATCAATACAATTTTCGAAAAGTAGAATCCATGATTATACATTATTAGTAGACAATGTAAATAACTTTGCGCTTATATTAAATTATATTTAAAAATTAACAAGAAGCAAAATTAAATCTTAGAAAAAACATCAAGACAGAAAAAATAGCACCAGTGTCAAATAAAAATTTATTATAAAATAATTAGCAAACACTTCATTTCACTTGTTTCTATAGGTTAATAAACCGTATATAAACGAGAAAATACGAGTTATAGATTCAAATCATAAGATCATTTTTCAAACGTTATTCTATTACATAAAAATATAAGAGGATACATTTTAACTGGCAAAATAGAGCCATAAATATACTTAAAAAAAAGCATCTTACTAGTAAACCTTCGTTTCCACTGACTAAACATGCTGCATCACTGCTCTAGCATCTTGGAAACGATTGTATGATAACAGCAATTATTTCAATCTACTGTATGCTTAGTGCGAGTTTTTTAACGTTCTCGATAGCGTCAAAGTTAAGCCAAATAAATATGCAGTTGGAACAGCGCCCCCTAGCGGCAAACGTACGCAAACGATCCCACTCCATACAAGTATGAGCCAACTTTTACGCTATCGAGAACGTTAAGAAACTCGCACTAAGCACACTGGAGAGTACTTCCCGGTAGGTAGCCGCTTGGTTGTGACCCTGACATTGCTGACGTCTATGAGCGATGGTAACCACTCATCATGAAGTGGGCTATATGGTCAGATACAAGGTCCATAAAAAATGTAATACACTTCAAACTCGTATCACAGGGTATGCAAAGGTATTAGCTATGAGCCTTGTTAAATTTTTTTTATTCGCTTGACATACAAGCGAGCGTACGGCTCGCTTACTTTTAAGTCTAGGAGAGGCTCATCTATTTATCAAAAACCTGCGGTAATAACTTTGAGTGGCACACTAGAGTTCAAACCTATGGACATATTATCTAGTAATGGGAAATTGGACTTTTTAGTTGAGTGATCGGGCACTCGCGCCTACGTTCGAGTCAATTTCGTTTTACTCTTTTAATAAATTGTTTAAAAAATATTAATTAAATTATTGAGGAAGAGCTTTGGTGTAAATTTTTTATATTCCGGGTGTAAGTGACCGTTGTCGAAGTGAAGACCGTTTATTCATGACATCATAACACTAAATTTTTTTTATTTTTTTTTTATTGCTTAGATGGATGGACGAGCTCACAGCCCACCTGGTCTTAAGTGGTTACTGGAGCCCATAGACATCTACAACGTAAATGCGTCACCCACCTCGAGATATAAGTTCTAAGGTCTCAGTATTATACATAGTTACAACGGCTACCCCACCCTTCGAACCGAAACGCATTACTGCTTCACGGCGAAAATAGGCGGGGTGGTGGTACCTACCCGCGCGGACTCACAAGAGGTCCTACCACCAGTGAAATTATGGCAGACAAAAAATATTTTACCCTATTATATTACACTGCACACAACATAAATTAATTAAACATCAGCTGAAGCTTGAGGTCAACAATCTCGTGCGACCATTAATATCCTACATTCATGTTTTACAAAATTAAATAAAATGCTACTTATGGTGAGATATACAAACTCCTTTTCGATTTCGGAAACGGTCACTGAATCTTTCAACCTCGTATTAAATGTACCGTACGCGTTCCAAATTACATAAGTATTAAATTTAAGTAATAGAAAAGATTTAATCAAAAAATTCATTATATAAGTTAAATAGAAGATTAAATGCACAAATTTAACAATAAACGTTACAAACAATTCATAATATATTTTTCTTACATACTAATCATAAAATATAATTAAGTGCAAACACACAAACGTGTCAAAATCAGATTCAGATCATCAACATTTAATTACACAAATTTATTGACGAAATAATCTACGAAAACGTTCCTTTAAAATCTGTCAACGTTGAACTACGAGAATATATATAGCAATCCACATAAAAGATTAATCATAACTTTAAATTCATTGTCCAATAAAACATAAACCCCGCAAATGACTATTCTTACTACATACATAAAACCCGTATATTAGGCCCTTACAGCTTGCATAAGGTCATTGTCTGACAAAGATTATCCATAATTTAATGCAGCATTCCCGAAAATTATAACGCAAAGTAATTTATTCTGACTGTACGTAGTAATCATTAATAAGACTAACATAAGAAACGAACAGATAGAGTTTTGTTTATATCTTAATATTAGAAAAACATGAAAAATCGTATCAAAACTTAAATCTCATAGTTGGAAGTTGCAGCAGTGGTAATCAATAAGGCATTGGCCCTACTTTTTTTATTAAAAAAAAAAAAAGTTCAGTTGTGTTGAAGAAATTTGAATTCATCAGTTGCGATTGTTGTTGCCTTTTTCAAAGAACATAAAATCCTGTAAAGATAATATTTAATTAATGTGTATTCCTATTGAATATTCGGAATTTCGATTGAAAATTGATTGCAGCATTGGTATTCTCGATATGTATGCCTGTAACTAATGAAGTTGACTGAAACATTCTGGCACAATAAGTAAGAGATTATGTGAAGTACTACAGCTTGCACATTTTAATTTTTATTTATTAGGGTTGTGGGATTGCTTTTGGTCCAGAGCCCTAACCCATAGACACAAACAAGCCATTGAGTTTCTCGCCGGATCTTCTCAGCGGATTGCGATTCAGATCCGGTTGTAGATTCTGCGAAGCACTGCTCTTGTTAGGGCTCGTGTAAGCAAATTCTCCCAGGGTGAACCTGTGAGCTCACCTACCCGTCCGCGTGTAGGCTACCAGCGAATAGACAGGGGGAGAAAGGTCCAGAGTATTTTCCAGCTTCACAAGGATAGGTTATCATTTTTTCAACTGAATGGCAGTTTTCGTGTTTTTTTTATGTTTTTTTATTGCCTTTGTGGGCAGACGAGCATACGGCCCACCTGATGGTGAATGGTTACAGTCGCCCATGGACTTCAGCAATGCCAGGGGCAGAGCCAAGCCGCTGCCTACCGCTTAATACACTCCACAAGCCTCGTTTGAAGAAGGACATGTCATAGCGCTCGGGAAAAACCGTGGAGGGGAGCTCATTCCATAGCCGGATGGTAAGTGGCAAAAAAGACCTCTGGAAACGCACTGTGGATGACCGCAGTGGCTCCAGGTAGTATGGACGAACTCTACTCCGGTGGCGGGCGGTGCGATGGTAAAAACGAGATGCCGGTATCATCTCGAACAATTCCTCAGAGCACTCCCCATGGAACATACGGTACAAAATACAGAGGGAACCGAAGCCCCTTCGCAGACCCAGAGGTTCCAAAAATGTGATGTGATGTCTATTCATTTCGGTATCAACATAACATACTCCCTGTAGACCGTGAGTTCATCTACCCTACTAAACTAATATAGAAAAACAATAGAATATGGAGTATATTGTACTTATCTCTGTACTCACTGTAAGGGACTGTGAGCGAAACGGTAATACTACTTAAAATTGGGAACCAGTTGGCATTATGAGTGATATCGTAACTTCCGATTATTAAAAATATGGAACCATGACAGTAAAGTAATAATAAAAATAAATTATTTTATAGGTACCTATTATAGTCTTTTTTAAACGGTATAAGATTGAACGGATGAGGTAACTGTTCTATCAAGTTTTTATTTTATTTTTATTGCTTAGATGGTTGGATGAACTCACGGACCGGATCACCTGATGTGATTACGTGGTTATCGGAGCCCACCCGTGCGGACTCTCAAGACGTCCTACCACCAGTAATTACACAAATTATAATTTTGCGCGTTTTGATTTTTATTACACGTTATTCCTTCACCGTGGAAGTCAATCGTGAACATTTGTTAAGTACGATTTCATTGGAAAAATTGGTACCTGCCGGCGTGATTCGAACACCGATGCACCGCTACATAAGAATGCACCGGACGTCTTATCTTTAAGGCACGACGATTTCAAATTTTCCATTCAATTTCCACGTCACGTCTATAGAATCGGATAACTAATTATAATTAGCGATCCTGAGCTCACATGTCATAATTCAGCCGATAATATAAAAAAAAGTGCTTCAGTAATAGTTTTGTCGTTAGCAAAATTAAGAAAAAACATAGTTACTATGAGAAAACATGCTCCAAGGAGTACAGCTTTGATTTTGACGTCCAGGTCCATCGGGAAACTTATCCCAAAATTATCGGCATCGGTGAAGGCTTCGCGTGCAAATCCAGACCACGACTTCGTGATTTTGCCAACTTTAGTTTCTCCATCCTTCGAATACACCTGGAAAATTTTTAGTGTTCGAGACTTAATTATTTAATCTCATTCATTACAAAATGTATTTTTTAAAGTTTTTATGTTGGATTCTAGGAGCAACAAAGAAAAGGTATCAGGATGAGGTATCATCAAATATATATTAAGCCATTTCGTAGGCATATTGGTAATGCGGTAACGTCATCAAAAAAAGAAATATTCAATTATGTTACTTATTTTAATTCAGCTCGTCAAAAAGTCGCTACAATGGACACAATGAATTGCAATTGATGTACAGGGGAATGTTTTTGTTCTCAGATAGTCAATCCTAGTTACGCTTAGTGCTCGTGAACAAAATTAATTTACTGTCTGTCACCAAACGGTTAACTTGGACGATTAGCTATGGTATTATAAGGATCGCTGCAAAATTGCGCTTTCACCGCGACGTAAACAGTCATTGTCACCAATAACAATACAGTCTCAAGGAATTTCAGACTTATAAACAGTTTATTTGGATTAAAATGCTTTTTCGTTTATGTTATCATAACATTTATTCTGATTCAGCTTCGCGAAATATTTCACCCTGTATTTTTAATTCATGTTATGTCATAGCAGTTTCGTTAACTACCACAATTAGACAAGGCCACTCCCGTATTATTGATGTACTTGTAGTGCTACAAAGAGAGAATTGTATTGTGTTTTACCCAATTCCCAGTCCAACGTGTGATTATTATTTAAAATGAAACGACAATGACTTTTAATAGAGAGTTTAACAGAAAGTTTAACAACGAGACTTTTAACACACATATGTACATGGGCAAATTAGTTCACTTACAATTCATAAGAATGACGAAACCTGATCCATGTTTTAATTGTATTACATTATCTGCTATACTAATTTTCAAACCGGAATGTACTTGACATGCTTCATGACCAAAATAGACGAAACAATGATACTGATCAGTGCGTCCTTACAGTATATCCTATAATATCGCTCAGTGGCACACTGTACACAAGTTTACTGTCCAAATGCTCTTATGGCAAATTACACTTATGCGTCTTGTGGAAATTCAATAAAAAAAAAATCAAAGTAAAAATAAATTATTCTAACTTACATGAAACTCAACATCACCGCATAGAGAGAATGTGCAGATCGGTCCTTTAATTGTCAGCACAACATCGCCAATCGCGTCCTTGACCACGTAACTAGGATGACATATTGACCACTTCTGCTCGACCGAACCAATCAATGTGCCGGGCGGCGCTGATACTTCCATGATTTGCAGCCAACACGGGCAACAACAAGAATCGCAGGCCAGAGGACGATTTAGATGAATCACCTGAAAATAAGCAGACAGACCAGCAGATTTTTACTGGTGGTAGGACCTCTTGTGAGTTCGGGCGGGTGGGTACCACCACCCTGCCTATTTCTGCCGTTGTAACTATACTTGAGACTTAGAACTTATATCTCAAGGGGGGTGGCGCATTTACGTTGTGGATGTCTATGGGCTCCAGTAACCACTTAACACCAGGTGGGCTGTGAGCTCGTCCACCCATCTAAGCAATAAAAAGAAACAAAAAAAAATGTGCTATACAAACAGGGTGCATATTCGAAAATATTCAGATTTACAAGTCAATTCGAATTTATTACATCACCATTAACAACCTACTGACATTCATTGCTGGATACAGGCGGCCCATTGGGAGAGCCCAAGGTTCACGGTAATGGACAGTTCTGCGTCGTCCGCATCTAGCGTATTTCCGCAGACTACAACAGGCCATCCAAATCGTGGGAGGAATGAATGCATGCCTAATGGTAATTGCCTAATGTTAATATCCCGTACTTAGATTCTATTATTTTATTAATTTACAGCATCAGAATGGGTTCATTTTAGCGCGAAATTATAATCTAATATGTTATAGAATACTATAACATGACTTTTAATTATGTGCCACTCAGGAAAATTGTGATAATATTAAGCCATATTTGTATTATATCTGTATTGTTTCAGTGTTGTTTATTCTGAATTTATAGCACGTTACGCACTAGTAAGTGTGTGTGGTACAAACTGATAAAATGTATGTAGAATACGGTGTAACGGTTGGTTGGCCGAAAGTCTCTTGAATTATTTATTCCTAGTACACCTTTGACCCTAGAGATACTTTATACTGATGGCAGGAAGGAAGTATTGTAAGCCAGCATAGCTAAGCGATGTAATTTTTTCCCGTTTCTCTCGCGAAGTATGTGTATCGGTTTGATGAGTGGGACAGAGCGTGACACAATACAATTGAGACTTCAACCTTATATACTCAAGCTAGGCGACGACATTCAGGTTGTGATCGTCTATGGGCTCCCGTAATCACCCGTCTTACCAATAACATTAATAAAAAATACATACTAATATTATTATACATACACTGTCGCATTTCTTTAGAGCCTTTCTTTGTTATAGTAATTTGCTCAAGTACTGCAGCAGTCATGTCATGTCACCGATTGTTGTAGAATATAAATTTTAATATAGCTAGAGCATAAAACTGATTCTGTTTCATCATTCATGTTAGTCACTACATAGATATTACCAAAGCCGAGCGTGGGATCACTTTTATCTACGTGAACTTCAAACTGACCTTCCCTAATATTTCTTTTTCACAATAAATCTACTGGACGAATTTTGATAAAATTTCACAATATAAAAGTAGTACCTTATACATCAGAATATAATGTAGGCTGTAAAATATATAAAGAGTACATTTAACATGCGATAGGTGGCTTAGAAATGGTTAAATCGGAGCGTTACCCGGTGTAACTAATATGGTATGCGAAACGTAAATTGAAACAAAGCTAGTCACATCTACTGTTGTGGACTTTATAATGGATCTTTTATCATCACGTCAATACTGTAGATGCCCAACATTTTATGTATTCGATGATTTAATCAGCGCTATAGAGGATTTCTAACATGCTATCATTGAAGTGGTTTTTTATCTCCTATTCAACTGTTATTTATAGTCGAGTGGTAGATAAAACTCTTCAATAAATTTTCATTTATTACTTACAAGTAAATCTCCGTATTTATAAACTATGACAATTTAGAACCCGAAAAAAATAACAAAATTGAAATCTGAGAGTAAAAACCGTTTAGATTTCATACTATATAATTACGTCAACATTCAAGAAGCATCCAATGATATAATAATATTTATAAATTGCTTTAACCTTTCAAGGTAAAAAATATGCAATGCAGTTTTTGTCTTTGATAAATTAGCTTATCTAATCCTTCAACAAAATGTATTACGTAAGGTTACCCGATAGCTTGGCAATGAAATATAAATAAACACGACAGGATAAACGCATGACATGTAAAGAGTAAACTTATTTATATGAAACTCTAGAAACCACATTGGGTGTTAATTACTTAAATTCAATACCAAGGGTGGATAATAATTTCTTGTAAGCTTTACTATTATTTTATAGTAGATTGTAAATAAGACATTTGTTTTATGATTATTATTATTCTATTAAAAATCTATATACATATTATATAAAAATGAATTGCTGTTTGTTAGTCTCGCTAAAACTCGAGAACGGCTGGACCGATTTGGCTAATTTTGGTTTTGAATTATTTGTGGAAGTCCAGAGAAGGTTTAAAAGGTAAATAAATATGAAAATCCTCGGAATTATATAAAAACAAAAAAAATGTTTTCCCTTTGATGTGTCCCCCGTCGGACGGATTCATTTTGTTTGTTTTAAGTTTAGTTTTATACAAAAGTTTAGGTCTTTTATTTATCGATTGAGGCACTACGAAGTCTGCCGGGTCATTTAGTAAAATATAAAAATGAATTGCTGTTCGTTAGTCTCGCTAAAACTCGAAAACGGCTGGACCGATTTGGCTAATTTTGGTCTTGAATTATTCGTGGAAGTCCAGTGAAAGTTTAAAAGGTGATAAAATATGAAAATGCTCGGAATTATATAAAAACCAACAATTTTGTTTTTCCTTTGATGTGTCCCCCGTCGAACGGATTCATTTTGTTTGTTTTAAGTTTAGTTTTATACAAAAGTTTAGGTATTTTATTTATCGATTGAGGCACTACGAAGTCTGCCGGGTCAGCTAGTTAAAAATAAAATAATGTTGAAGTTTCGAAACGTTGATTGCCATTTGACAATGATACTTTGTAAAACTAAACCGACACGTGGCGGTGTTTATTTTGGTGTATTCGGTCTTGGAATTTGAAGGGTGGAAACAAGTTTTTTATAGCACTGTATGAATGGACAAACTTTTACACCCGGTATTACAAGGCCACTGGAGCCCACAACAAGAAGACATCATAGCGTGATTTCCATTAATCTAAGTCATGAGGTCTTCAGACATCTTTTTTAATATTATTTTAATTCCTATGCAAGCAGACGAACATACGGCCCATCTGATGGCGAGCGGTTTTTTTTTATTGCCCTTGCAGGCAGACGAGCATACGGCCCACCTGATGGTAAGTGGTTACCGTCGCCCATGGACTTCAGCAATGCCAGGGGCAGAGCCAAGCCGCTGCCTACCATTAATGACTGCAGAATAGTGTTTGCACTTGTTTGACCTCAAAATTACTCTAAAATTAAAATTTATCTTTGACTGTTTATCTCCCCGAGCCCTCACTTCGCCACCTCTAACCAATCGTAGTGCGAATCGATTGCCAATTGTTTTTCAACGCAGTAAATCGCCAAACTGGTATTTTTAGAAGTACTTTTTTAATTTAGAAGCGCGATTTCTAATACTAAATTTGAAACATCGACATAGCAGCAAAATCGGTGATGTTAAAAATTTGTTCACCAAGGTCTTACCTCATTATTGAAGTTGTCCATAATTTTCATATCGAAAGGACGTAAAGGTCCGCAGCAGTTTCTTGTGCAGCAATCATTATCCTCAATCGCATAATAAACTTTTTGACCAACACTGTTCATAACTGTGTATTTGTTGTTTGTCTCGAACCCAACAAAAGCTTCTAATAATTCAACTTTCTGATGCATTATCAGTTGGTCAATCATGGAAAGGTATTCCAAACCTCGAGGGCAGTTGCTGAGGCCTTGCGGCATATTCATCCAACCACCTTTAAGAAAGACAAGTCCAGTGTAGTGAAATAAAGAAGCAGTAACGTCTTATAGATAATATTAATAACTTCATTGATAAGGGAAGTAAACAGTTTTAATTGATAAAAGTGTTTATATTATTTTAAATCCCAAGTGGTTCTAATTCGAAAGCAGCATATAAGCATTTTAATTACAAACTAGGTGTGTGCCGAGAGCACTTCTGCTCAAATTATGCAAATCTGCAAAAATAAATTAAGTGACAAATGAATTGAACATACATATATTATTTTCACATATTTCCCTAAGTGATGACAAAGAACCGAATGTAATAAAAGAAGCCACTTTTTGTAGGGATCGAAAATCTGGGACGCAACCATCACCTTACTTAAACTTATCCACCTTCGAGTATAATAATGGTGGGGGGGGGGGGGTCGAATCTGTATTAGAATTCGCTCATTATCTTGGTAGGAAAGTACTGGTTTGAGAGCTCGCACATTTTAATACACAGTAGCTATGATTATAGGTCTATGTATGGTTATGGTTTTTAGAGTGAAATAGCCTTTTTTTTTTTTTGGTAAAGTTTACTGGTGGCCCGAAGGCCTTTCCAGTTTCACCAGGACAGGTGGGCGAGCAAAGGCTCAGCCAAGAGGGGTGGGATTTGCTAACAACTGCCCGAGCGCCTCCGAAGGAGACCTAACAACTCAAGAGCAATTGTTTTGCGAATGAATCTACTACCGGATCGGAATCGCGACCCGCTGAGAAGATCCGGCGAGAAACTCAGCGGGNACCGGATCGGAATCGCGACCCGCTGAGAAGATCCGGCGAGAAACTCAGCGGGCTGATGCATGGGTTAGGTTGCACGTCGACCTCTTTGTCGAGTTCGACGAGTACGGTTACCGGGGTCCCTAAGCCTGCCCCTAGTATTAGAGCTGAAGGCATCTAATGCAAAGGTTATTGGATCTGATGGATCCGTAAGGACGTGAGTGAAATAGCCATTATAATAGTAATGTATAGATAATTGAGACTTGGACCTTGTGGTTCAAGGTGGATTCACATTCCTCTTTTTATGGGCTCCAGTAATCAATAAAAGACTGGGAAGAAATTGAGATCTTTGAACTTTTAGAGAGACAATGAGTGTTGAGATCCGTATTTCACTCATCTTCCATGCTATCATCCATACTACAAAGCAAACATTCAATAGATCAAACATTATTGATGTAAAACTGCCGGGAGATTATCATCATTACGCTAACATTAATGATGAGGTAAATTTAACATAAAAATGATGTTAGTTAAAGGTAAATTTTACATAAAAATGATGTTAGTTAACAATCAACAGTCAATATGAACAAATAATATTATAATTTTAACTTAAACATCAAAACAATTACCATTTAAGTTAGATCACACAAGGAGCATTAACACATTTAGCAAAAACAATCACACTGTAAGTTAGAACATTTACCGTATCCAAAAACATTGGTTATAACACAATAAAACACCAATTAAAAATTAAGCTACTCTATAAGCACCCTCCACAATACTGTATTTGTCAATGCTACAACTAAACCTCTTTTCTTCTTCAGTCAATAATCTTTCATAACCACAGTGATTAGACTTGAAAACTCTCTTGTAAAGTCTGCAATAACTTCGTTTAATACTCTTCATACTCAAGGTCTCAATATAAACACTCTTTTCTCTATAGCTTTTAATAGCCACACGCTTGATGTTCAAATAATATTTCAGTTTTGGCCACAGAGCACTTGATTCTGCAGGCTTTTTTACTTCTTCATTACTTTGAGGATCAAAGTTATTGTTTGATGAATCACTTATCATTATTGTTCTTTTAAAATTTAGTAGGTATTTTCAAATAAAAAAATTACATATAATAGAAGTTTTTTCCACTTTTTTATTTCGTCTTATTCACAAAATGTGTCTTTACTGAGTCTGAGTAGTGGATGGAATAAACATTCCTTATCTGTTTGGATGTCATTAGCTTTGTCTACTTTATGTCTCAGTGTCAACAAAATAGGCACTAGACATATCAATATCAGAAAACAAACAAGTAATATTGTGCAGTGATGTTTATTGACCCTAATTTAAGTACATGTATGTGATGCAACTTTAAACATATTACTACTAATGTGGAGAGAAGCTTCTCTAGAGCTATCAAAAAATAACAAGCTGTATTTGAGTCGTCTATTATCAAAGGTGGCAATCTGTGCATTTGGACAGAAAAATGTTATTGATATGTCAATACAGATTGATTTGAATATAATCGTCTCCTTCAAAGAATACGGTTCAAAACCTGCATTAAATAAAGGTTAATAGTTAACCTGTTATTTATCTAAGATGTCGTTCCGAAGAGTTTTGTGACTGCCAATGGAATACAAAGTCAATAATTCGTTTTTCTGATTTACCAATAATTGTCCAAAAGTCAGATTGCCGGCTTTGATAATAGTCGACTCATTTGTAGCTTATCTGGGACTCCTTTTAATTGCATTAATAAAAAAACATGCTGAAGATATGGTTATGTGCTGTCTGGCTACTACTACTGCTACTTTTATTCTGTAGTTAATTATATTTTTAGCTTAACCCTATAAAATAAACTTTCATACACACCTGGAGCTTGTGGACCTGGTTGTTGCATCACTGGTACCGGATATCCACTAGGCTGAGGATATCCAGGAGCAAATCCTGGTTGATAGCCAGGTTGAAATCCTGGCTGGAACCCATGCTGCATGCCCGGAAGGGGTTGTGCCCCAGGATGTAGGCCGGGGTGTGGCATAGGAGTAGGTGGTGGGCCAGGATAGCCGCTTTGAGGATGCATGGGGTAACTTTCATTTGGCTTTTCTCCTTCTGGTGGAGGTACATATCCATGACTTGCAGGGAAATTTGGTGAGTATGGTGTTGGTTTATGTGACATTGTTAACTCCTGTAACAAAGATAAATGATTTTTAGCTAATACATAATATGATAGACAAATATATTTTCTTTAATTTAGAAAATTATAGACAGTTAAAACTACTAAGTAATCTCATTTAATATTTATTAATGTCTTTTGATTATTTCTGAAACTTCAAATATTTCTTAGTGATGTTTAGTAGTTTATTGTTTATTTGTGATGAATGACAATATAATAATATTAACTAGATAGTTCTGTAATTTTCATTAATGTTAGATTTATAATTCAGAAAGAATCAAACATGTTGCATTTTTCTTACAGAAACCAACACAATCTACTATTTATCACCAAAATTGTAATAGCCCTACATTACATAATAGTAACATTGCCCAGATCATATCATTTATCATGACAAAAGTATACTAGCGTATGACATCTGCCCATAACTATCTTCATAAGGAATTTCATGCCATCCTTTCAGCAGTTTTTTAGTCATTATGTTATAAACATACAAAATTTCTAATTTATAACATTAGTCAGTAAATCAGTGTTAGTAGTTGTTATTTTAGTCTCTTATTTTGCTTATGACTGTGTTTGTTCCACTGTCAGTGGACAGTGATCAAAATCCTAATAGGTACGGATAAGTGTATGTATATGTTTAGTGAATAGTTCTTTTTAAAAAAATCACATTTACTTTTCTGAGCCACACCTTCGATTCATTTCGTTGCAGGAATATTTATATTTATTAAAATTACATGATTTATTTTTGGCATCTTCACTACTTGTAGCTCACAAACAGTAGGTTGAATACTATGCATTCATTTAATCTATTTTATATAAATTTTCACATTTACTTTACTAAGCGACACACTCGATACATTTGGTGGTAGGAATATTTAACTTTTTATTTATATTTATTAAAATTTTATGATTTATTACTTTTCACAATATTCGCTCACAGACAGTAGATTGAATACCATAGAAGAGTTTAAGGTATGAGGCGCTATGTATTTTATTATTTTTTTACGGATTTTTGCCATTGATACTTCGACTGGAAATTTAAAAAGAATTGATGATAATAATTTCAGTTGCAGGAGAAGATGGAAAGAACTGTTAACCACTGAAACTTACCGTTTCGTAACCTTTTTCGTATATTAATTGTCTCTAGAATCAACAATAGAATTAAAGCCTACGTTAGCTTAATTTATTAAATTCCGTGTTTTGGTCACTTTTAGCGAATATTAGTAAAGTGTGCCTACTGCCTACCTATTCTTTATAGTAGGTACTAGGTAGGTATGGGGTAATATTAAGTAATTGTCTATGGTATGGGGAATACTATGGTAATATTATCCCACCAAATTGAACAGACTGTTTGGCGGGAACGCGAGGAGTGAAGTTGTGTTATTTGTTTTATTTGGTCTAGTTAGTGTTTCTTCAGATTTAAATGTGTAATAACGGTGGTTTATTAACTGTTTAGTATCTGTGAAAGTGCACAAATGTGGGAAAATGAAACAAAGCCACTGAACGTAACTTCTCGGGATCTTCCAAAAAGTCAACTGAAAAAGTTTCAGTAAATGGCCACCATTTTACTGAGATTACTCCATTTTACTAAGACTTGACCTAAAGGTCTTAGTTACCAGGTCATAAAATCCATTAAAAAAACCAAATTGAACAGAACTAGTACCCACATAATACACGTATTACATACTCAGAGACTAAGCTATTCTGTCATATAATATAGATTTTACGTATTACTAAAAATTAGTTAGTTTTTATCTACGCATAGCAATAGACATTGCAAGTATATACATATTTTACTACTTTAATATAATAGATGGGTAGACGCGTTCACAGCACATGCGCTTTTTAAGGTTATGTGAATGCTTAGACGTTCCAAATTGACTTAAATAAAGTCTATTAGCCACAGCGGCTGTACTACTCTTCAAACACGGTGGCGTACATATGCAACATTTATTATGCATAGAATTTAAATTCTTACTTACTTTTCATTTTACCCTGGAATAGCAATCTCAAAAACGGTCTTTGACAGTATAAAGACAATAAATTATCTACAAAACTTAAATGCTCTACCAGAGTACAGAAGTAATTCGAAAAAACTTCTTGTTCAGTATGGCAATCAGCTTTAGGCCGTGTTGAGTTTTTTCATTACTCATTCAATCTTCGTAGTCTCTGCACAAATGCCGGATTTTATTGTCTCTTGCTGTGTAGAAAATGTGTATTGAAATATAAATTCATATGCTTTCTTTGGAATACCTGAATCCCATAATTTAGCTTAATATCGTGTAGTCAGTGCTGGTGCAGTAACCTGGGTACATAACTAGGAAATAGCGAAAATATTAGTACCATAATCTGGTATTAATGACTGACTGACTGATATTAGGTAGAAGCTCACAGTGGAAATTAATATGTTTAATATCTATATTAAAGGGTCACTCACTGTTGGGAATATAATATGTCCTTTGGTTCGCAAGTCAACATTTAAACAGAATCTAAAGGTATAAAACATGATTTAACGGGTATTAGTTATACTGCGTTTGTAATAACAGGTTCCGATTTTGATCGAATTAAAACCAGGTTAATCTATACAGACAAGTTCTAAGGGCATCATTAACAATGTATCATTTAATACTCCGATTTACAAAAGCTTCAATTGAATTGAAGCTTATTTAAGCTTCAATTCAAGAATTATTCAATGTTCTATTATTTTAATGACGATTTATTTATTTTTTCTTAACTTGATCACTTTCAACAGCATAGCCAACATGATGATATTAGAATATCCGTTTAAGTGTTGCTAGCTATTATATTTTACTGCGCAATAAGGAATTTTGTGAAACTAATTTCCTTTAGCTTGCTTATTCTTTTATATTTCTTTTAATCCCATAGACATCAAGATAATATGATAGATCGATCCTAAGATAATATGTCATACATTCAGTGCTCAACTCTAACTAGAATTATAGTGGATGTTTACCAAAACAATATTACACAAATAATCTTTAGTTCAAATTTAGTGACTTTAAAGTTTTCAAGTATATTTGTTTTGTTTTGTGAATATTTCTTCTTTTGAACTCTTGTTGCATCACATTCTAAGAGCAAATCGTCTATGGGGCTACTAGAATTTTAGCATAGTGACGCGAAAGTGTCATTTCTAATGAAAGAATTTAGAAGTTTTTTAGTTATTTCAAAAGTAATGCACATAATAATTCAACATACATAATCAGTGTAACAATTGAACAGTGATTAATTTTTTTCTGGAAAAATGTGAAAAGCTTGGTTTTTATGGATGGCAATATTATTATTCGTTAGGGAAATTATCCATTCACCAATCAAACCATTGCAACTAGGTGCATTGACCAACCTGCTGCTCGTGTGGAACCAAGCTGGTGTTGATCACGTCAGTTGAATGGAAGTTATGTTCCGCGTTTGTCTTTAAAGTTATTAGTGCTATGCAGTTGGAGTTATTTTAATTTACATGGAACTAAAATGGCGTCGGNTGGCAATATTATTATTCGTTAGGGAAATTATCCATTCACCAATCAAACCATTGCAACTAGGTGCATTGACCAACCTGCTGCTCGTGTGGAACCAAGCTGGTGTTGATCACGTCAGTTGAATGGAAGTTATGTTCCGCGTTTGTCTTTAAAGTTATTAGTGCTATGCAGTTGGAGTTATTTTAATTTACATGGAACTAAAATGGCGTCGGTGTTTATCAATTAACTTTAGTAAATGTAACTCAGTGATCGCATCCGAGTGAGTCATAAACCAACATAGCAATGACATTTTATAGCGCACAGTGTGAATACGTTTCTATAACATTGTGTGGAAGACTCGCAATTGTGATTTACGGAGCACAATAATGCGCGAATTTAAAGTGGTCGTGTTGGGTTCGGGTGGGGTCGGAAAGAGTGCGTTGACTGTGCAATTTGTATCAGGATGTTTTATGGAAAAATATGATCCGACGATAGAGGATTTCTACAGAAAAGAAATCGAAGTGGACAATTCTCCTTGTGTTTTAGAAATTTTGGACACCGCTGGCACGGAGCAGTTTGCTTCGATGCGAGATCTGTATATAAAAAATGGTCAAGGCTTTGTAGTAGTATATTCATTAACAAACCACCAAACGTTTCAAGACATCAAACCAATGAAGGAATTGATTACTCGTGTCAAAGGATCAGAACGTGTACCAATTCTACTTGTGGGAAATAAGGCTGACTTGGAACATCAACGTGAGGTGGCGCATGCGGAGGGCGCTGCGCTCGCGCAGATGTGGGGCTGTCCCTTCGTCGAAGCTTCAGCAAAGAGTCGCACCAACGTGAACGAGATGTTTGCAGAAATTGTGCGTGAAATGAACGTTAGTCCAGAAAAAGAAAAACCTTATTGTTGTTGTACAGTGCTTTAATATTTAGTGTGTAATGTGGCATTTATTTCTCGTAAGACTGCAAGAGCGAGGCGGGAGTTGGTCCGCTTCCGCTCGATAGCCGGTTGCCTCCAGTGGAGAGCTAGGCGGCGGCGCGCCGGCAACGACCGCTGGCCCTCCGGCGGTCGCGATGCGCGTCATATCACGTTGTTAATATCTTTGATACATACCATTGTCCAATCAAGGTGCTTTATCTTATATTTTCATACTTTAGTACTGGTAGATACTCCCGCAGATGATTATGATTAATATAAGAAACAAAATGAACAAAATTTGAGAAGCATAATATAAGAACCTAACCTTTTGTTCAACATAATAGGAATGTGAGCAAAAGCATTCCATTACAGCAAATTGAACATTAACATGTAAACTAATGTTAGTATTTTTTGTAAATAATTTCATGAGATTATAAATATTGAAGGGCAAGGATGATTTAGAGAATTAAAAAGCCATCCAATATGCAATAATTTTGTATGATTGTGTAGAGTGGATCTTGGTGAGTAAGAGTTTACACCTAAGTCATGTTACAGAATGTGTTTTATTGTGTAAATTATGTTTGTATGAAAAACAAGTAATCAAGGAAATACAGTAAGAATTGTCAGTTGCGTGATTGTGTTTTAAAAGTCTACCAGGATTTGTGATAATACATATATAACAAAGTATCTATAATAAAAGTTTTAAGTGGGAGAGTAACAAGTGAAGTTTTATTCGAAAGTAACTCAGGCGAATGATAAGNACAGAATGTGTTTTATTGTGTAAATTATGTTTGTATGAAAAACAAGTAATCAAGGAAATACAGTAAGAATTGTCAGTTGCGTGATTGTGTTTTAAAAGTCTACCAGGATTTGTGATAATACATATATAACAAAGTATCTATAATAAAAGTTTTAAGTGGGAGAGTAACAAGTGAAGTTTTATTCGAAAGTAACTCAGGCGAATGATAAGGTTATTAAAATAAATCTCACAGCATGACAAATATGTTTATAAGTCCATCCAAAAATCAATGTCTCCGTGTCACCGATTCAATTGAATACTGAGCTGAAATTGTTGCATTGTCTTTAAGAGCTTCTTATGAACTTTAGAAAGTAGCATAAAAACTTGGTGGTAAAAAATAAAAAAAAATTATGAATTGTGTATGGAAAATCATTACAATGCAAATTAACATTGAATTAAATGTTTTACATTATGCCACTGAATTGTATATGGTGACCTTGGGTGGTTTTCAATTAGCATAAATATTTTGATTTCAACAAATAATTTACTGATAGATTTGAAAGAATGAGAATGACTAGTAAAATTAATATATAAACCAAAGCACTGATGTTTATTAATACCGCATTTACACCTAATATTAATTGAGGCAGTACTAACTTTATATTTACATAGTTGAAAACAAATTTTATTTTATTGTTTTAGAGGTGAGTACATAAATATCTTAATATTTTGGTTGGTTAATAATGGGTGAGATTTCAAGGACTAACATTTTATAAGGAACTGTAAATATAATTATAGGAAAAGTCAAATTCTTAACACGCTTTAGTACATACCTCTCTATTTAAAACCCTAAGATCGTAAGTAGGCCCACAAAATATAGAGTTGTATAAAAAGGACATTTGCAAGATTGTTAGCTCATTTGTGCTCTCTGCATCACGTATTTGATTGTATTAAAACTTTGTAATTTGTTGATGGGACTTCTGGGATAGTTTATTGTATATTACTATTGAAATATGATAGGTGGTCAGTGCATTACAATTAATTACAATAAATGTTTTTTTATAAATTCAGTCAGAGTAAAGTATGGTCGGCATAAATTAGACC